CTTCATCCTCTATAGTAATCGCCTTGAAGATACTCAATGACTTGGTTACCTTCTGCCGATAATCACACACAATATCCAATCACAAACATACCAAGCCGGGCAAACAATATTAGGAAAAGTTATCAAATTCCAGGAAAACACTTGATGTGATAGTTCAACTTAAAGAAAAATACAAGCAATTGTAAGAGACTAAAACGACTAACGCGTTTGGAAGCCCAGAAACTGTTTTCTGGAAAATGAGTTATTTTTCAGAAAACATTTTCCTTTCCAGTGTTTGGCTACACAATGGAAAACTGTCTTTTATGTGTTTGGTTCATTTTCCAGAAAATGAGTAGGAAAATGAAAAGAATTGAATACTTCAAAATTTTAATTGTTTGATACTTTTGATAAAATGCTTTTGTGAATATATATATATATATATATATATATATATATATATATATATATATATATATATATATATATATATATATATATATATATATATATATATATATATATATATTTTGGTTCCAGTGAGGTCAGATCTTCCCGTGCGGTCAGTGCGACATACACCATTAGGTATGCATAAATGCACCATACAGTGTTTGAAAATACACCAAAATAAAATGCCAAAAAAATGCACTACACAAAAAAAAAAAAAAAAAAAAAAAAATACACCACATATAGTGTATTACGAACACTGTGTGGTGCATTTATGCATACCTAATGGTGTATGCTGCACTGACCGCAGGGATGACCTGACCTCAAAGGAACCTGACCCTATATATATATATATATATATATATATATATATATATATATATATATATATATATATATATATACACACACACACTGTGTAGTATATAAAGACTACACAGTATATATAGCATATATGCTATATATAGCATATATAGCATATATATATAGTAAGTATATATGTTATACACAGGAACCTGACCATATATATATATATATATATATATATATATATATATATATATATATAGGCTTTGAATCCGGTGCAACCCTATGATACATGAGATCATAAGATCTTATGATATCCATTGATTCATTTTCCATGGATGGTTGAGATTGAACGGTTCATTTAAACTAGTTATGGACATTTTTAAAACATAAGGATTTAAAAGTAATTCTAGTATTGAGTTTATTTTTGGTTAGTATTAAATTGTAATCTTGAGCATAATATTAGGTAGAATATTAAAGGTAATAACGAGTAATAATTTATATTGAGAGCTGATATTTTTAGTTGATTATGTACAACGGTGTGTGCGTGTATGTAGTATGGCGTGTGCAAATCGTATGGATGAGTTTTTTTTTTTTTTTTGGTAATTTTACGAAAATAGTTTATATGTGTGTGCGTGAATTTATGTATATGGGTTGGTTTTAAAGAAGAGGATTGTAAGAGTAGTATGTGTAGTTTTTTTTTTTTTTGGACACCGGAGATGAACTTACGGAGGTGTGCGAATATGTACTCTGGCGTGTGCAAAGCTTAGTGATGGGAGCATTGTTTAAACAAAAAAAAAAAACAAAAACAAAACAAAAACAAAAAACAAACATTAATAATAGGCGTGTATGTGCAATAGCGGGTGCGAGTTATTTAAAAACGGTCTTGATATGACGGTGTTATTATAATTTTGTTTTTATTCATTGAATTTGGGTTTTGGGTAAAAGTAATTGTTACTAAGTATAACCATGAATGATCCATGTTTTTTTATATACTAATACTTAATTTAAGAATGTAGAAACAACGTAAACTAATTATTTTACGTTGGTGTGTGCGTGTATGTGAGCTGGTGTGTGCAAATTCTCTGGATGGGGGTTATTTTTTGTTTTTATGCAAATATTTATTATGTATGTGTGTAAATTCATGTTGTTAGTTTGTTTTTTAAGAAGAAGATTGTAAGGGTACTATGTGTTGTTTATTTTTTTTGTTCACCGGAGTTGTAACTTACGGTGGTCTGTGCGATTTTGTGCTTTGGCATGTGCAAAGGTGTGCGTATATGTGTAATAACGTGTGCGAGTTATTGTAATGTGGTCTAGGAATGACGATGTTATAACAATATTTTTGTTTTTTTTTATTTTGGGTTTTGTATTAAAATAATTGGTATTCAGAGTGAGCACGAATGATCAACGTTTTACGTTATGTTAAAATTTATTTTAAAAATACAAAAGCAATGGGCGTGTTAGTTTGACGAAAGTGTGTGCGTACTTGTGGAAAGGCGTGTGCATATTACAAAATTGTAGTCAATGCAATCATTTTTTGTTTAAATTTTTTACGGAAACTCTAATTACATGTGTGTGTGCATTCACGATTTTTTATTAAAAAATATTATAAAATTAGGTGGCGTTGGGTTGTCTTTATGTTCCAAAATTGTTTACTTATGGTGATGTGTGCATGGTCAACTCAACCGTTTCTTGTTTTATATTTTACGGAAATTGTAATTGCATGTGTGTGTGCATTCACGATGTTTTTTTTTGTAAAGAAAAGATTATAAAATTAAGTGGCGTTGGGTTATTTTCTTGAACCGAAATTATTTCTTTACGGTGATGAGTGCATGGGTGTTGCTGGGCTTGTGCAAGTAACTAAGCCGTGGGCAAAAACTAGTTGTTGTTATTATTATTATTTTCTAAATAAAATCATATAAAATTGTTATTATTAATCATGTGTGCATGGATGTTGTTGGGCTTGTGCAAGTTACTGAGCCGCGGTCAAAAACTACTCGTTATTATTGTTATTATTATTTTCTAAATAAAATCATATGAAATTGTTATTTGGTGTGATCATGTATTCATGTATGTGCAACTAAATGCTTTGGAGATGCATGAGTCTTCATAATTGGGAAGATAACTACATCATCCGCACAGACATATAACACTACAATGCACAAACTACCTACAGTAACAAAACACCAAGAACAAACAAGACTATCGTCTGCAGTAGCATGACTTAGTTGAAAATTCCTATATAGAAGTGCCAATGCTGCTAAAATATTATATTTATTCATTAACTCAAGTTTAGAACACCACCAACAAACATTTTAAAATAAATGCACACGTCATACCACACATATCCACCCACCAAAGTTCACAAAATGCACACACCATCCCAAACTTACGCACATACAAAGTTCAAACAGGAAGTTTTGCAAAATCATTTGCAGAACATGAAAAATGCTAAAAGATTGCTAATATAATCTTAAGTTTCATATCGCTATCAATAATAAATTTTTAAATTTTTTAATAAAATTTAAATTAATTAAAGACATATTTCAATTAATTTGACAAGCATGTAATTAAACTATTACAAAAGTTTAAGGAAAAAAAAAAAAAAACAGTACCAACAAACATTTAACATTAATTCAAGTTTAGAACACCATTCGCACAGACATATAACACTTCAATGCATACACTACCACAGTAACAAAACACCAAGAACAAACAAGACTATCGTCTGCAGTAGTATGACTTTGTTGAAAATTCCTATATAGAAGTGTCAATGCTGCTAAAATATTACATTTATTCATTAATTCAAGTTTAGAACACCACCAACAAACATTTTAAAATAAATGCACATGTCATACCACACCTATCCACCCACCAAAGTTCACAAAATGCACACGCCATCCGAAACTTACGCACATACAAAGTTCAAACAGGAAGTTTTGCAAAATCATTTGCAGAACATGAAAAATGCTAAAAGAATGCTAATATAATCTTAAGTTTCATATCGCTATCAATAATAAATTTTTAAACTTTTTAATAAAATTTAAATTAATTAAAAACATAATTAAAGACATATTTCAATTAATTTGACAATCATGTAATTAAACTAGTACAAAAGTTTAAGAATAATTAAAATTAAAAAAAAAAAAAAAAAAAAAAAAAAAAAAACCGGTACCCAAACCGAAATCCCACATCCCACAAAAAACAACACATGATGAAATATTCAATGCCAGTAGTCTGCAAACGACAAACTACTACAACGCATATATTATATTATAATAAGACATGTTTTTGCATGTAAATCCTAATGAACAACTCTATTCTGCTCATTTTCACTAAGAGATTGAGTCATAGTAAAATATGTTCAAAAAGTGAGAATTCTCCTTCAGTATAATGTAAAAGTATTCATCATTCCTCCATTATCTGCAATACACTACCTTAAGATAGTCAAGAAAGCTGCTATGAAGCTGGAATTAAACAAGACTAATTTGGAAAAGATAATAGAAAATGTTCAAAGCCCAAGCCTCTCCAACTAAAAAAAAAAAAGTCACTAATTTGATCACCCATCAGTCCCTATTGTGATTCATCAACTTGAACTAATTCAAATCGCCAAAATAGTTTCACAGAAACTCCAGAATTCATGATTGCTTTCCTTCTTCTCCAACACGCATTGATCTACTCCATCGATCAGTTTTAAATCCAAATCTAGTTTACAAATCAAATGTTAAACAATGAAAAGAGTTCCTACGTGCGGCTAGTACAAATATCGTAGATTAAACATGTTAGATTTAATTAACAAATGCCAAAGCTGTCCAGCGTCGTCAACAAATGCTGGCGGCGCGTCGACTATAACCAAAAAAGGCACCGGCGAACTGAATTCGGTGATTCATGCGTCGTTCGATCCGGCCTTTCGTCTTCACCAGAAGAACCGGCGCCACAGTGATGACTCATCCGAAGGGAGACAGCGAAGAGTCACTCCAGCCATCTACCGTGGTCGCCGACGTGGACAACAACCGGAATCGGCGAAGCATATTATCGGCTAACAGTATGGTAGTATCATTCATCAGTATTATTAATGCTTTGTAAATAATAAATGTTAGCCATCCGTATGAATTACAAATAATCCACCCAAATTAATGACAATTCTCCAGCAAGACAGCAAGTTCTAAAACAATGGATATAATATTTCAAAATCCAGATGAAGTATGAAAATAACTGTGCTTCATGTTGAATTTTTAAAAAAACAACTACAGTTAATTCATTCTAAACATACATAAAACCAACATTATGCATCTAAATACCAGATTTACCTCGCTTTGAATGAATAGAAAAATTGTACATGGGAAGAGATGAGAAATTGAGAAGAGAGAAGATTAAATCAATGGAGTTTAGATTTGATTTCTTCGAGTACTCTTCACTCGCCAGTCATAAAAAACGCTCGGATCAACGGTGTTGCTGAAGAAGGAGACGAACGGAGGGGATTGAGACGGCACTAGCGAGGAGGCTTAGAGAATGGAATGGTAACTGAGATCAAGGGGAGAGAAACAAAAAGAAAATCTTAACTTATTATAACTCAATACACACGCAAGTACAGCGGCGAAAAAATAGTCTTGCCATATTAAAGACAAATAGAAATTACAAAATCACCCCTACCTATCTACACACCCATTGCACGTGGGTTTAAATACCACAAGATCTGAATGTTAAAAAATCCAAATCAACGATCAGAGAGTGTGCTCACGGGCTCGGCTAACTAGGGGGTGTGCACCGGATTCAAAATCTATATATATATATATATATATATATATATATATATATATATATATATATATATATATATATTATTTGTAGATTTTATTTACTTTTCTGAACTCACGGGCTCGCTAACCCGCATGGGGCAGGCTATCGTTGCATGAACCCTAGCTTGCGAGTTTGGTGGGTCGACTCGCAAAAGCCCGCAAAAATTAGGCCCGAAAAATTTTGCATGTGCATCCCTTGAAAAATGACTTCCCCAAAAAAAAAAAGGGAAATCATTTTTCCCCAAAACATACCTATTTTCCTTTGACTAAGGCATCATTTTCCATTGACCTCATTTTTCCCCCTCTTTCCAAACACTGAAAACTCGGAAAATATTTTCCCGGTTTCCAAACGCACAAATAGCTAGAGGCTAATATTGCATTTTCCCCTAAACAAAATAAGTGTCTACAAACTTATTTGCCAATGCCATTGACCTCTGTCAGCTCAACTTTATTTCTAGGTACCCTCTTGCTCATGTGTTGCAATGTAGCATTCCTATAGATACCAGAGAAATTTGTTTTATCAGCACATTCCAAACTCAATATGAAAACACAAACAAGACTTGAGAGGAAAAGGCAATAGGTAATATCTGTTTCCTATGTATTTCTTAATTTTTTGCTGGTAGTGGAGTACATATACAAAAACAGATTACACATAGCAAATGAGTCGACCATGCCAAACAGTGTGTATCAACAAATTTGAAATGCACATATACCATGCATGAAGACACACAAAAGACTCAAAGTAGCAGCAATCCCTTAGTAAAACACATGTAAAGTAAAATAAAAAATAAAAAAATTCAAGTAACATATAACATATCCTGTTGTCACAACTCACATCATATTAAATAATAAAAAAAATGTATGCAATATGCTTCAATGTTTTTCAAAGAATTTGCAAGGAATTCCCTATATCATGGCTCTAAGATAGGCAGAACCTAAAACACCAAGTGGTTAAGTGAACCATTTACACTTTGCTTGGTTTATAGCTTAAATAAGATCTACCAGACATCCATTAGTTAATGTAATGAGCTAAGCACAATTTATAACTTAAGAAAGCTCATAAGTTAGTGTATTGTGTCTAGAGTTTATAGCTTAACAACTAACTCATAAGCAACTAATCATGCACATCCATAGTCTGGTTATTGCAACCTAAGTGGCAGACAAGAATACGGCAAACACAAACAAAAAAAAATATTGAACTTCACAGGAATTCCACACAATTAGATTATGTTACTTCAATTCAATAATCTTCAACTAAATGCTAAGATACTCCAAGTCTACAGAACCATATACTGTCAATTCTGAAGCAATCAAATCCATAGTTTTAAACTTTTAATGGCTGAACAACCCAAACTCTTTTCACAGAATATATATTGAACTTCATATTATGTACCTCTTTAAAATACGACCAATTGCCTCATCCATCTCTGCAACTCTGCAAGCACACTGAACTGATTTGGCAAGACTTGAGATCTATAAAAACATGGAGTGAAAACCACAAGGAACAAGGATTACTATCTCCATTCAAGAGGAAGTTTCTAAGAATTCAAACCACAATTTGATTTCTTTATGGAGATACTAAAAGGCTTCAAAGTGATGCATTTAATGCCCGTTAGAAAAGCAACGAATTGAAACAGAAGAATTCATTAATTAATAATCAAACAAAATGAAGGAGTGAAAATATATGATATAAATCTCTTACTGTCAATGTCGTCGTTACTCTTACCGGTCTCCATCTTCTTTTCGTCAATGTTTACTCTTACTGGTCTCTGTCTCCATTTCCTCGTCAATCGTATATTTTGAGCGAAAAGAAAGCGAAGTTGCCCAGATCTGAGCCGTCACCGGAACAAAGAGCATGATCTGAGCCACTTAGGAGAAGAAATAAATAACAAAAAATTTGAAGGGTTACTGGTGGCAGTGGTGGAGGCTAGCTGATGTGACTCCAATTGTGCACATTTCTAGTATTAATTTAATTATATTTGTCAGGTTTGAGTTTATGATTTTGGTAATTTAATTACATATTCCTTTGTTTTATTATTTAGTTATGGTTTACACTTGTTTTAAATGTTTTACGATATTTGTGAGTGTTTTTGAATCATTATATGTCATGAGCAAGGGAATCTCTAGGATAAATTTGGAATCAAAATGGACAAAAAACACGTGCACAGCATGTTCGAAGGCTGGACGCCTCCAAATTTTCCGGTAGATGTTTCAGTCTAGAAGGACGCACGCTAATTACGGAAGACGGCGCTGAAGTGCAAAAATAAAATGGCAGATTTCATGCTTCCAAATTTAATTCAAAGTGGCGTTGATTCCAAGGACATTAAGGCATGTCTCAAGATTATAAAAATTGTCATATTCCAAAAGAAAATTAAAGGCGGCATATCATAATTAGAGCAAATACCAATTTTAGTACCACGAGTATTAGTAAAATGACGGTTTTAGTCCACATGTTTAATTCTTACCAATTTTCATTCACGATTATTATTTTTGTACCAATTTTAATTCACGGTTATTATTTTAGTACCAAAATTCATCACGTCGGTCACCCATCTATTTAAAACATCCCAAAATCTAAAAAGTTTAAGGGCATTTTTGTCCTATTTAACTTAATATTCTAATTTGAGCATAAATAAATGAATTTAAGCCCAAAGATTGATCCCAATTCGCAGTTCTCCTCCTCATCATACATTAATTTGAGGAGGAAAACTGCGAATTGGGATAGATCTTAGGGCTTAAATCCCTTTATTCATGCTCAAATATGAATCCTAATTTGAAAAGCACGAAACTACCTTTAATAATTTCATATTCCGGCATGTCTTAAACGAAGGAGTAACTGGCGTGATGAATTTTGGCACTAAAACAATATTTGTGGATGAAAATTGGTACTAAAACAATAGTCGTGGATGAAAATTGGTAAGAATTAAACATGTGGACCAAAACTGTCATTTTACTAATACTCGTGGGACCAAAATTGGTATTTGCTCTCATAATTAATTAGGAAATTACGATTTCGACCCCATATGCACTTTCAGTCTAATTTTGCATAGAATTCCTATTTTCATCGAGATTGTTTCAAGGCTTCTACTATAAAATCCCACATTCCCCAACTCTAAAAATTATTCAGAGATCTTTGGAGACAAGAAGGAGATGAATCAAGAGCCACAAGTTATCTTGGGAAGCAAGAGAAGACTAGGGAGATTTGAGAGAATCGTTTGGTTCATTCTTGTACTCTTTCGATAATTTGTATTTATTATTATCTGCTATGTATAATTTAGCCATGCTTGACTAAATTCCATTAGAGATTCTTGGGTAAAAGTGTTTATGAACCTATGTGCCTGAGCTCTCAAATTCTTTAATATATTATTATTTGGATTTAATACTTGTGTTGCAATTGTGATTATATTGTTTGATGCTTGTAATTAGTGGTCATAGTTACTTGCTTCGTTTGCTTTCTTTGTGTCACAATGAGAGTTGGGCATAATTTAGGGCGCACATAATTGCACCTAATTGTTGCACCTTGAGAAAGGGTAATCTATTTAGGGAGTTTAATTCTTGATTATTGCCAGTTTGAGAGATGACAGTAGTTAGGAATTTATGATGCTTGTTTTTGTTTTATTGCGTGATTATCGCACAAGAGTGGATATTCATCAGTGTTAGTGACTGCGAGAGTAGCTCTATACCACCTTGCATCCTCACACTCGTATGAACCCAGATTTAATATTACCACCTTCTTCTTCTTCTTCTTCTTCTTATTATTATTATTATTATTATTATTATTATTATTATTATTATTATTATTATTATTATTATTATTATTATTATTATTATTATTATTATTATTATTATTATTAGTTTGGTTTTACAAAAATGCCACTAAATTTTTGGGGGGAAAATTTTTGTGCCAATCATTTTGCTTTAATATATATATAGAGAAGAGATAGAGATAGAGATTATTATAAACATTATAATTATAATTATAAAATTATAATTATAAAATTATAATTATAATTATACTGAAAATATATTATTATATTACATAAATACAATTATATTATATTAATAGTAAATCATATTTTTAATGATAATATTTTTTTTTGTATGTACTAATTATATAAATTAGTTCAATAAATAGTTGGTAAAGTATAAATGTTTTGATAAATAAATTACTATAATATTTTTAATATATATTGGAAAATAAAATTGCATAATACTTGATATTAAATATATGTATATAATATCTAAAATCTAAAAACATAATAAGTGTGAATGAAAGTTATACCCCTGATTTATGTCCGTTTTTTCCGTTAAGTTTTTTTGTACATTATGCTATAAAGGTTGTACATTAAAATATTTTGGACAAACATACCCCTACCGTTATAACTTCCGTTATCTTTTCCACTATTATTACCATGCACATGCATTCACCATATATTTTCTTATCTTCTTCATTAATAATAATATATAAACATTATATATTTGAGTTATATGTTAATTATTACATAAAATATAAATATCAAATTTATAAAAATGATTTACATTATTATTATTATTATTTAGAATAATTTAAATATCTAAAATTTAAATAAATTTAAAATTTTAATATAATGTATTAATATTGGGCACCTATTTTTTGCGCATCGCGCATAAAAATATACTAGTTATAAATATATGTACAAGTTTTATATCAACAACTAATCAATAATTTGTAAATTTATAATACTTCTGCGAACTGATCTGGTAATTGCGTATTAATTGCTTTGCATTTAGATGTCAATTCTTTTAAAAAAGTATTAAACATATATAAAATTACATTTTGAACATATAAATTTCAATTTATATTTTTAAAAGATATTTTGTTCCATATAAAATTTCACAATAATATTATTAATAAATAGTTTGTGCATCACACATGTATCATTCTAGGGTTTAGAGACGAAGCAACATACGGGAGAGGAGATAGCTGCGCATCTTGGAGCGAAAAATGATGAAGGCACAGCATTTTGCGCCTTTTCTACATAGGTTTAGGGATAGACATACGGGATGAGCTTTAACCCTAGCTTTGGTTGGGCTTAAAAATATTTTGTACTTAATATAAAGTTTAAATTATGTATGTGTTTTGGGTTGGATCAGAATATAAAATGTAAAGGAGCTAGAAAGTGTATATTTATTTGTATAATAACCTAAATAATACAGATAAATAAGTTACTATATATATAATATAATATAATCAAATCTAGACCATTCAAATTAAAATAAAGAATGCACAAGATTAGTCATCACGTCCTCACCCCACACACACACACATATGTATATAAAACAATTGTTTGGCTATTTGTTAAACTTAATAGATTAACAAGAATGAAGAGGTAATAATCTTCAATGTCACTGCATATGAAAATTAATTGGGTCGGGTCGCATCTATGCATTTGGATCAGGCTGCATCATCTCGGTTATGGGCCTGAATCTGTTCTTCTAATTTGGGCTGTACAAATGAATATATATAAGCCTATAATAATTAGTTATGTTATGTGGACTGGACTGATTTTTTTAACTTACAAACTTAGGTTGTCTAATAATAGGATAATTACTTATGTCATGTGGATTGAATCATAGTATAAAATGTAAATCAGCTGGATTATTAGTGATGTTACTATTGTATTATTTTTATTTTTATTATTATTAGTATTAACATGTAGTGTATTATTCATAGTTTATACATTTCAGTTAATATTATATAGTTTATTCAAACTATAATTAATGTTTTTGATATTATAAAATTAATGTATAATTTTGAGGATTAATTCGCAATGAACTTTGAGGATTAATGCTTAATCAATCATTTTTAACACGTGATTTGACAATAAAATTATTTAAGTTTTATGCGGTGCATCTTATAGATAGAATGCAATTAAGCATTAATCCTCAAAATTCAACAATGTTTAATAAAATTACAAAGTTTATCATTTCAAATTTATTACGTTTTCAAACTGCATATTTTTTCATTTTATTATATTATATTGTATATTTTATATACTATATATATAGCCGTGCATCACACGGGTGCAACTACTAGGTCTATAATAAAGCAACAACTTCTTGCAAATGAATTTACCGCCCAAATAAAAGGATGCCATTTAGAGCCATAGGACAATTACAGTCGTATTAAATGCTATTCACACTCTTGGTTGCAGATTCTGAGGAGGCTTAGCTGAAATAACTCTTGGTTTTAAGAATAACTTTTGACAGTTTGTTAAATTAAACTTAATAGATTAACAAATAACGAAGAGGTAATAATCTTGAATGGTTTAATGGATGTTCTATGATTTATTGTTTTGGAGTAAAATAATATTTACATTATAATCATATTTTATATTAAAATATTAAAGGTTATAATACAAAGTTTTAATTTATGAAAAAATAAATTGTTTTAGTAAAGAAATAAAATTTGGTGTAATGGGTTGGAGATAGAAAAAAAAATGATTATAAGAATATACAAGGAATATTCCCTATGGTGTAAAATTTGGTGCAGAGGCTTAGAGATGACAATCGTTATTGTGTGGACTTTTGTGGATCATATTTTGTATGTTATAAAATAATGTATATTTAGTACAAAAATAATGTACTTTTAGAATATTAAAAATGTACTTTGTATTTAGAGAAATTACATTATTTGAATACTACAAATATATTATTTTTATAATGTACATTCGGTACAAAAATAATGTACGTTTTAATATATTAAAAATGTACTTTCTTTTATGGTCCATACAGCACTATGTGGACCATGGTCCACACAATAATTTGCCTAGAGATAGTCTTAGGGTTAGGAGAAAGCATTTTATGAGTAGTTATGCTGTGCATCCGTATGCACCATGCATGGTGCATATGAATGCAAAAATGACGTCGTTTTATTAAAAACGCGCGTCTCCCCTTAAAAAAAAAAATCATGTTCGATTCCCAGCAACAACATTATGTTGTTCATTCATTCTGGAATTTTAGTTCATAGATTATGGAATTTTAGTTCATTGATTCTGGAATTATAGTTCATTCATTATGGAATTTTTAGTTCATACATTAGATTCTGGAATTATAGTTCATAGATTCTGGAATTATAGTTCATAGATTCTGGAATTATAGTTCATCAATTCTGGAATTATAGTTCATCGATTCTGGAATTTTAGTTCATATGTTGTTGTTGGGAATCGAACCTGATTTTTTTTAAGAGGAGACACGCGTTTTTAATAAAACGACGTCGTTTTTGCATCCGTATGCACCATGCATAGTGCATACGGATGCACAGCATAATTTGCCGCATTTTATTAATTGTTTTATTGGGTTCGGGTTATGGGCTACATTATTGGGTTAGTTTTGGGTCAGATTATTTAGAAGAAAAAAATGATAGAAATAAAGTTTGACCCAAGAATTTATTATATTTAGTATATTTGTTTATTAAATATTATAAAATAACATTGGTGTAATGGGTTGGAGATGGAAATAATTTGATGTAAAAATATACTGAGAATATTCCTTTTATTGGGTTTTGGTTATGGGATACATTCCATTTTTTGCAAAGCAAATTGATAATATGGGATGAAGGTCCAATGATGCACAAATTTTGCTATGAAGCTTTAGACCTGACAATGAAGGATTTGTTACGCTCCAGAAATCCGAATAGTTATGATATGACCTTTGGTGGTAAAACAATTGTTTTTTTGTGGCGATTTCAGGCAAATTCTACAAGTAATTCTAAAGGGCACGACACATCAAGATATTGTTGGGGCAAACATAAATTCCTCATATCTTTGGAGATCCTATAAAGTATTTAGGCTAACTAAGAATCTACGCCTAAGTGGTGTACAATCAGATGTCGAAGCTAAAGAGATTGAAGAGTTTGCAAAATGGATAGCTAATATACGTGATGGAGTAGTTGGTAATTCAAATAGTGAAGCAGATATTACAATTCCAGATCACTTATTGCTCAAGTGCGACGATGATCCTATTGCTGCAATTGTTGATAGCACATTCCCTTTGTTTCGGCGCGGTATAGGTGATCTGTCATATCTTAAGAACAGTGTTATTTTGGCTCCAACATTGGATGTGGTAGATAGCATTAATCAATACATGAATGATCATAAAATTACAAAGTTTATTATTTCAAATTTATTAAGTTTTCAAAGTGTATATTTTTTCATCTAATTATATTATACTGTATATTCTATATACTATAATATAGCCGTGCATCGCACGGGTGCAACTACTAGTAATAATAATAATAAAATTTTCAAGATATCCTTTCTTAATTGGTGTCTCGAAAAGTTCTCCCTTTTTCTTTCCACAACACCTTCACCTTAAAGGTGTTCTGGAAAGTGAAACTTGTATTCCAAATTTTGTAGTAGTGGGAGGTGGAAATTTAGCTATGGACAAGTGTGTTGGTCAAGCATATGGCAACCACGAAAGCCTAACAGAACTAGCACAACTACTAAATGCACACAAGGATAAGTAAGTGGAAAGCATGCCACAAGATGAAACAAGAGAAGCGAAGGGCGGTATGATACGTAACTTAAGAACAAAGGGCCAGGAAAGCTAATGAAATTATTAAAAGAGGCTGCATCAGAACAAGCTGTTAAGGGAAAAAGAAAGTGTTGGAGTTGCAACCAACAAGAACATCATGATAGCTGAACCGTCTTGAAGCCCGAAACCGTCCTGAAGCTTAGATTTTACAATATTTTCATAATCATTCCTTAGTATACTACTGTGTGCACATTTTTACCTATCAAACTTTTATTGACATTATTCACACACACATAACATCCACCTCATTAGTGGGCATGTAAGATTTTCTTAAAACAATGTAGGAGATTTAGCTTTGTAAAATATTGTACTCATTGGATGTTGTATTACAGCTACTTTCTCTTTTTCAATGCTAATTATTACGGTTGAACTAAAAAAGACATTCATTGATTGACAAGAAATTAATTAATATCAATCACCTGTCATGAGATATGCATATTGATTGGTAATGGAAGTGTTCGTGATGCCCTTCATATAAAGAAGGTATGATATGATAAGGAAGCCATTACATTCCTTCCATCCCTGCCTGTGTTTCATCAACTGAGAACAAAGAAATGGGCTTAACAGCTTGTTATCTACAATACAACCATCATCAATCATGTTGAGCAGATATTATCTATATATTAGGTTGTAGTTATTGGGAAAAAAAATGTACCATATAGTGCATGTGCAAACTATATTGTAAATCACGCGTGCACACACATATATATAGAGTGAGAGTTGTGTAAATTAAAGCTTTGATATATGTGTCTCCCTCTGCAATACACTAGTACAAAAAATTCAAAGAAATCTAAGAATAGGCGTCCAACTTTAGAACTTTGGACACCTAAAGTGTAAAGCGGTGGCATTTTTATAATTAAAATGCCTCTATATAATTTTTTTTAAATTAAAAAGAATAGGCGTCCAAAGTACGTAACTTTGGACGCCTATTGATAACCCATCCATATAATAGGCATCCAAAGTACGTAACTTTGGACGCCCTATTATTAGGGTTACGAATTAAATCATATCTCTTCTTCCTCAGTTTTCTTCTTACACTCACCTCGTTGTTCTGCTCGCGACTTCTCCACTGCCGCTGCCCCAAAGTACGTAACTTCTCTCCGTCGCCTCCGCCACTCGTCTGTGTCCTCGCCGCTGCCGCCACCGGTCGCCAAGGTCATCCTCGTCTTCTTCCTCCAAGGTCGCCAACGTCGCCCCTGCCGCCACCACGGGTGTCCTCGCCACCGCCGCTCATCTGCCGTCCTCGCCGCTGCCGCCGGTGTCCAAGCTCCTCGCCGCAACCACGCCGGCCTCCTCCGATCGGTAAGTGTTTTTTTTTTAATCGTTTCATTTTTATTTTTATTTTATTTGAAAATCAATTTTTAATTTTGAAATGATGCATCTTACAGGCTACTCTCCGGTTCGGACTGAATCTATTGACAACACAGCTTATGAAAAACTCCCTGAGGCAGAGGAGATTTGTCCTGAGAGGCATGCCAACATATTGTCCAGTACGTATTTATACATATCTATGTAGTAAGTACAACATGGTTTTTCAAGAATTTCTTGATAACTCAAACATTCTGCTTTTAATCCTGAGACTAGAAGGTTGGTATCATCAAACATTTACTTGTTCTATGATTAGTATATGGCTAAGAGACTTAGCATTTTGTTACACTCATTTAACTAATGTTTGCCACTTTTTCCCTTCTACATGAGTTATTTTTTCATGGATGAACCCTCTTATGCAGCAAGTTTATAAGAGGCCTCTTACAGAAAAGGATGTATGGAAACTGGATGTTTTGGATAGGACAGTAACACTTAACAATGCGTAAGGGGTTGCGACCCTATTTATCCCCATTTTCTCTTTAAATTGTTTCCATTATAATTCATTTCATATAGAATAACATTTATCTTAAAAGAACTAGTATTTTATGTCAAAATAGACATTATGGTTCAACTTTTTCGTAGGTTTCAAAACTGTTGGGCAGAGGAGTCTCAAAGGCTTCAACCATGGCTTTTGAGAGCATTAAATAGAAGCCTTGGAGGAAGGTAAAAAATTGAGAATTTATTTTGCTTTAAAATATGTTTTGGTCTTTTGGAAATTTCAGGAATTCATGTGCTCTGCTATGATGCTATATGTATTGAGAGTAAATAAAAAAATTTCTTTCAATATGTTGCTAAATTTCCTTATTCTTGTTGAACTTTTGCAGATTTTGGTGAGAGGCTTCTGGAAGGTAATGATCATTTTTAAGATTAAACTTTAAATATCTGAATTGAACTTCCTATTAAACTCAGCTGAGATGACCTCTAGTAACCTGAGAATTGAATCTTTTGCTTGATTATAAATGCAAGTGTTTTCGATAAGTGAATATTCCAGTATGCTTGATCGTCACTAATCCTGTTTTACTCTTTTTACTGGAATTTTCCAGCATGTATTCAAGATGGAGCAGGAGGAATATCAATAAAAACAAATATTGTATTTAAAAAAAAAATAAAAACATTACGCGTCTAAAGTTCTTGATCTTTGGACGCGTAAAGTAGTTTTTTTTTAAAATACAATACGCGTCCAAAGTTCTTGAACTTAAGACGCGTATTGCAGTTTTTTGCGCAACTTTGGACGCTGATTGTACATACAATCAGCGTCTCCCACATACACGTCCAAGTAACTTTGGACGTGTATTAGCCTTAATTTTGAACGCGAATGACTGTTTCTGTACTAGTGATATGGTTTAGCTCTATGCACAATCATTATTGCATGGACTATGGTCCACATAATTGTATGAACCATAAACAAAAAGTACATTTTTAATATACTAATGGTACATTATTTATGTACGTAAGGTACATTTTTTGAAAGTACATTTTTAATATATTAAGGGTACATTATTTTATATAACGTACCTCCAGTACAAAAATAATGTACCTCCAGTACAAAAATAATGTACATGATATTTATGATCCACACAATTGTGTGGACTATGGTCCACACAATAATTTGCCAAGAGGGAGAAGCTTGGGCTATGTACATGGCCTCACAGTGGGCTTGGAGTAAATTAAAAGTAGAGTTAAGTCCAACAATAGTCCTCTGACTATTGTGATTTTTCAAATTTGGTCCTCGTCTTTTAATTTGGACAAAATAAACCCTTGACTATTAGAATTGTTCTGCCATTGGTCCTTCCGTTAACTAAGAGTTAAATTGACATTAGTGAAAGGTTAAAAAGGTCATTTTCTCTGCTGAGTTTCTTCTTCTTGATCTCTTGGTCTTTCCTGAATACATGTAGCAGCAGATTAGAGCCGCAGAGGGATCTGCATCACGAGTTTGCAAGTCACGCCGAGGATGTCCAAAAGAATTTGCACGGAGCCCACCAATCATCTCATCATTTTCAAATGCACGAATTGTGTCTTGATCAAAAACTTCCTTGGAGCTCCAAAACTGCACAATTGTCTGTAATCATGACTGATTTTCTTCCTTATTTTGAGGATTATGATAAATCCTTGATGTACGTACATTTATTGCTACCTATATATACTATCAACATTTCATTAAGTTTTACCAAACTAACAATAAACTAAACTTTCTTTTTTTTGAAAGTCACAGTAAACTAAACTAACTATCTAGATTACGAATAATTAATTTATGGGAGAATGACACTTTTTCCCCCTGAGTTATATACTTATAGCACTTTTTTCCCCTTAATTATTCAAGTGGTTGTTTCCCCCCCTAAAATGTTAAATGGACATATTTATCCTTAAAATAAATATTTCATTTATTTTTCATCTTCAACAAATTATGATCATAATTTGGTTCAAACCAAACAAGCACTATAGCAACCAAACCGAAATATTTCAATTACAATTTAGAATCGAAACTCGATATTTAGAGTTTATCAAAATCGCGAACTGGAACGGACGGTTCATGTTCCGAACTGAAAAAAATAAAATACATTTATTGTTGAAGTTAGACTATTTTAAAATAAAAAATAAAATTTTAAAATAAAGACGGTTCAAAATCGCGAACCGGATCCGAAACCGCTGATTCACGGTTTAGGATCCAATTTTTTTGATTCATAATTTTAATAAATTGAAATCCAAATATTGGGTTCTCGATCTGAATCATAATCAGAAACTTTTAATTCGATTACTATAGTGTCTGGTTCAGTTCGAACCGAAGTGGTGATCCCTACGTATACGCAATAATTTGTTGGAGAAGTAAAATAAATAAAATGTTTACTTTAAGGGTAGAAATGTCAATTTAATATATTAGGGGGAAAAACCACCACTTTTAGAATAATTGAGGGGGCTAATGTACTTACCTAAATAATTAAGGGGGGAAAAGTGCTATAAGTATATAACTCAGGGGGAAAAAGTGCCATTTTCCCTTAATTTATTCGATGAAAATTTTACAATTTTTCAATTTAATTGGAGATGCTCTGCCTTTTTCAGTGTTCAGCTTCTAACAACTAGCTATGTGCGCCAAAGAGAACGATATTGCAATCACTAATCTTTATAGTTTTCAGCTTCTTACAACTAGCTCTTCATCAGAGTATATGTATACATTACATGCAGTGGAGATGAGATCCCTAGACTCCATTGTTTCTCTTCTTGCTCGTCTAGCTTAGGTTTATGTCGCTTCTTCACTGTGTTTCTTTCTCTTCTCGCTTATACCTATCCTTATTGTTTTCAAAATATACATTAGTGTATCATCATATCTGTATTGCATAACTAAAGTTTTTGGAAAGAATTACAAAGCTGTCTGCCCATGCAAAAACCATGTTTCCTACATGTTGGTCCCGGTAGGGTCGAAAGGAGAGTCGAGGGGGGGGGGGGGGGGGGGGTGAATAGACTCAACTCGTTTTGTCGAAAATAACTCCTTTCGGGGTTATTACGCAGCGGATATGTTATACGAATTTTAGGTTGTTTTGCATTGTTTGTTGCTTTAAGAAAACTTTCGGTTAGGGTCGTATGATATGCAATGTACGAAAGTAAAGTACAGAAAAGTAAAGAGAGAGTAACGAGACTTTTATAGTGGTTCAGCCAACTGTGCCTACTCCACTCTTCTTTCACAACTTGTGAAAGGTTGCACTATCACTCCTAGTACAATTTACACCAAACTAGCTTCCTTGATCACTAAGCCGGACAGCTACTTGTAGGTTTTTCAACTCCTAGAGTTTACTCCGCCTCTATCAACGTCTTCTTTATAGTTGAGGGTTGGTAGAAAGGATTTGCGTGTTTCTCCAACTGGTTGAAGTCTTGGCTGGTTGGTTGGATGTTGGATGATCAACGTATACAAAAAGCAAGACTTCTTCAAGGTTGTGAAGATGAAATCTGATAATTCTTCTTGGAAGCTTCACACCTTAAAACACTGGTTTTCAAAAGCTTGAGAGAGTGAACTTGTATAAGGAGCTCTTGAAAATGTATGATCAGTTGTAATAAAAACCTGCACCTTCTATCATGGAGAAAATGGGTATTTATAGGAGAGAAAATATCCATCTGTTGGAGGGAGATGATATTTCAAACCTATTATCCAATGGTTAAAGACTGGAGAGCCTGGTGCATTTATTGCTTCATTAAATGCAGCTGTACCATATAGACGTTGGAGACAATAACTCCTGCATGTTTTGTCTTTTAGTTCTGAAAAGTGGTACTATGGCATTTAATGCACCTAGATAAGCGTGCTCTCATTCTTGGAATACTTATTCCTAGGATGATCCATCAGCTGAGACATTTGACAACATTCTTCTTGAGTTGAGAGAAGATGGACTGTCTTGGTAGTCTGAACTTTAGATATAATGTCTCTGGTCGGAAGATTTCTTTCGGTTTCTGCTTTCGATTGTAAGGGATCATCTGTTCATTCGTGGTCCGTCTGAGATGTGGTTCTGCTTCATTAAACAGCTCTTCTTTCGTCCTAACTAAAAGATCATAACTCGGTTTCGTGTGTTTGACTAACTTAACACGAATTACATAGTGAGTTATGGTACCTTTCGTCTAAGACGAAGGTAGCTAAATAAATGAAAAAAAGTTAGGGGTCTACTTCTAAGTTACATTGGTATCATCAAAATCCTAATACATATGTTCCTAACAATTTCCCACTTTTTGATGATGCCAAAACCTATACTCTGCTTATAAGGCCAATAATTGTCCCATAAGAGATTTTTCATTTCAAAATAGACAAACAGAAGAGTTTACATTCAGTTTCTAAGAATTATTAAAAATACAAATAAATATAACAGGTAACTTAGATAGAGACACGATAGATAGAACCAAAAGATGACTTTTATAAAGATCAAAAGCACTTATAAAATATTGTCAAAGGCATGTGGTTGAGAAAACTTTTACATATCTAAAAGTTTCGCCTTCTGTAGCTGGGCCTCCTTTCGTTCATTGTCATCTCTTTCCTTTTGTTGCTTGAGCATTCTGTCCATGTCAATTTCTCGGTTTATGTGCTCTCTGAATTTTCAGATTGGATTCTCTCTGACGAGGTCTTTATATTTTCCTTTAATGTTGCAACTCACATAGTTATTGTATGCTTCGAGGATGTTTTCTCCTTCAATAATGCCGAGATCCACCAGACAATGAGCTCAAACGAGTGCATCCCTTCGGTGTAGTTCTTCCCTGATTCTGTGTGGATCTTGAATGCAGCATTATATTTGACTCCTGATTCAGCATCTTTCTTGACTTTCGTTACATCCTTTATGTTCTCCTTTATCCTTTCTCGCTCAATCATCTCCTTTTCTCTGGCAAGTCTCGCCTCTTCTTGCTTATTCCATAGCTCAAGATTTGCTTTCTTGATTTCTTCATTCCTTTGGCTCTGATGGACTTGCCTAAAGTAGTTGTCTCTCTTCTTCATCCACACAGGTATGTTGTACCCTTCAAAGCGTTTTCCACTTCCTTCTTCATACGGTTGGTAAATAAGGAAGTTTCCTGTGGCGTTTATGGTTACAGTGTCCTTTCGCATCAGCCTTTGGCGAAGGTTCTTTTTCTCTCTGTTCGTTTTCCCGAAGAATGAGAACTCAGAGATGGATCCGAAAGATTGACGAGGTTTGATGGGATGTTGTCTGGATCTTGAAGAATGTTGTTGTCGAGATCTGGATGCTGGAGGCGACGATCTCGTGTTTCTTGGTGAGCTTCTTCTTTCTTCATGTCTTGGTGAGCTTCTTCTTTCTTCATGTCTCGTGGTTCTTCCTTCACTGTTTCTCCTAGATTCACCGGGACGAGGTGGTGATCTATTTCTGTCTTCGTCCTTATCGTCATCCTTTCTTTTCTTTTCCCCTTTTTTGGCATCAGCACACGGGGAGGCAGAAAACCTGGTTAGACTGTTAACCGCATTAAGGACATCCTTGACATACTCGAGCATAGTGAGCTGATATTCTCCCATCCGAAACATGTTGTCATGCCCTAAGTCGACCTTTGTGCAGGCAAGGTCAACTCTCTCTTTGAGGCCGAATTGGGAGAGTTTAAGAGCGTGCTGTTCTTTTGCAATCTTGTCGAGAAGATCACTTTGACGATGGAGGTCCTGTGTTATCTTCTCTTGGAAATCGACAGTAGACGAGCTCGTTTGTTGCTGAGAGTTTGTTTTCATTTGTCCATCTTATCACACAATCTGGCTAAGGTTAGGGCGTCATGCTCTCGATGAATTAGGTATTGCTGATGTATAAGTTCGGCCTGACGGACTGTGTTCAGCATCTGATGCATAATGTTCTCGAGATCAAGCTACTCGAGAGTGGGACCTCTTTCGGGAAAAAGGAGCATAGGTCTTCGAAGAGCACTTCTATGTTCAAAGACAAACGGCATTGCTCGAGGTGATGCTTCCAGTGTTTCATCACGAGGTGATGCTTCCATTTTATCATCACGAGCTTGATTTGCAACAGCTTCACTGTGTCTTGGTGGAGGCATAGAGTGAGACGGATCACAAGGGGGATTGTCCTTGGGTGGAGATGAGCAAGGAGCGGCGGATCTATCAGGTATGTATTCGATGTTGCCAATGATAGGAGATTCGCTATCATAGCCCGAATTGCCATCATCGTCATCATCATTACTTGAATCATCATCATCATGTTCATCATCGTCGTCCTTCTTCTCATCATCTTCTTCATCAGCGTCATCTTCATCATCACTTTCATCATCTTTGTCGTCTCCGCTACCATTGTCACCATCATTGTTTTCGTCATTGGGAGACTCTTCAGAATTAGTCTCACTGCTTTCATTTTCTGCATTTGTTCTTTCGTCTTCAACAACATCTTCAATTTCTTTTCCTTCGTCATCCTTGGATCCGCTAACATTGCAGGCAGGATCATTCTGATGAGTCCTTTCTAACTCCGTTTTTACTTTGGATAAGAAAAGAACATATCTGAACTCTTTCATTTCTTCTTCAAAAGCTGGATCCAAAGGTGGCTTATTTAGTTCAATGCAGAGATGAACTTTGTCTTTTCCAAGAGAGCGGTTGGTCACTTTGTAAGAATACACCCAGTTGATGGTTTCGAGGCGTATGGCATTGTAAACGTCTCGTGTGCTGATAAGTGCTTATTTGTCTATATTTTTCTCCGTTTCACTAAGTCATTTTGCTTATAGATCATTCCAAATTTCATGAGATTATGATTAAATTGTGTTATTTTGCTAGGAGTTTTGTTTGGAAACAAAGATGAGTATTTAGGCATTTTGTGGACATTGGAGTCAAATGGAGCATTTTGGATGCATTAGGAGTCCATGGGAGCCAATGAGAAGTTAAGAGGATAGACAAAATACTTCCAAGGGAGCCTAAGAGTGGTGTATTCAATGGTCTTAGTCATTTGGGCAAATCAAAACAAAAGAGGAGTAAAAGATCAAGACATTGTAATTTTCGCTCATTTCGGACACTGTTCGGTTTTTTGACCATATCTCGGCCTAGAAATGTCCAAATGGAGTGATTCTTGCACCATTGGAAAGACAACTTAAAGAGCTACAACTTTGTTGAAGACCAGAAGTGCAAATAAAATGGTTTTAGATGGGAAATATAGCCTAGAAGTCAAGACAAGTGCGCAGAATTCTGTTTTCAGCAGCCTCGTACGCCCGTACGCATGCCAGTACGCATCTCTTCTCCCTGATCCAGTTTTCACTGGAAATGCACCAAAAATCGTAGCCCCTGGCGTACGCCCATCCCTGAGGGCGTCCCACTATGCTCTGTCCACTATATAGGCGCGATTTTAGTCATTTCTACTTGGTTTTGACTCTTGTTAGAACCCTAGACACTCTCATTTACTTCCCTTCATATATTTAGGTTAGATTAGGCTTAGATTTGTTTTTCTTAACACTTTTGAAGCTTGTAATCTTGGATTTGAAGCTTGGATTCCAACATTTCAAGATTCCACCATCCATTTTCAATAGAGAAGCTTTCTTCCTTTTATCTCTTTCTTTTGCTAGATTTATGTTTAATACTTGTGTTTTTGTGTTCTTTATGCTATTTAATCATGAGTAGTTAGTTTATGGACTTGAGTTAGGGTTGTATTATCTATCTTGATGCTTGATTTGTGATTATTGCAAAAAAGGGGAAGAACTCTAACCTAGGGTTCATGTGTTTGTGAAGGTTTTGTATTGATATCTTGTTAATGTTTGATGTAAACATTCATTAGCTTGTTTTTGGAGGATTCCTTGCCTCAACGATAGGTGGGTGATGAATCCAAGCCACCCCTTGCATAGACCCGATTTCTTCCTACGAAAATAGGGGAAATTGGGGGGCTTTAGATGCTTTGTGTGCTTGATGGACTTGGAATTGATTCACCACGAAAGTGGGGAAATTCCTTGTTCTAATCCTTGTTTATTAATCACGAGAATGGTTCGTAGACTAGGATACCTACGTGCAATTCCCACTTGACTCTATGTTATTTGTTCTCCCTAATCCATAGGTTGTTGAAGCATCTAGATGATAATGCTCCCTAGCTTGAGTCCTATTTCTTTGTTTCGTGTTTATATCTTGTTAATATGTGTTTGTATTACTTTGTTTAGTTACCGTAGTCTCAACCTTGTTATGGTTTGCTTAGCTTCTTGTTGGTTTCCTTATGCTAGTGCCTAGTTTATTGTGATTGCATATTGCGTGCCATAACCCTAATCCCCTGAGGACGACATTACACACCCGTGCACTCACCATCACTCATTTTTGCTACAATAAAAAAATTGGCGCCGTTGCTGGGGAATGGCAATTTGGTGGTTTTATGTGATTGCTTGTTTTACTAGAATTGGAGTTTAGGGAATTTTAGGAGACTAAGCTTTTAATTTTTGTTTTGTTTATTTGTGTTGTGATTAAGTGCTTACAAGTCTATATCTTTAAGTTTGATTGAAAGAAATTTTTCAAGATGGATCAAGGAGGATATTACAACTCTCAATCTTATGGAGGCTTTGGAGACTACATGCCTCAACAAGGATACTATAATGTTCCATCCGTTAATCCTTGTACACCTCAAGCCCCACCTCCAAATAGCTACCATGATGCTCAATTCCAAAATCCTTGCCCATCACAATCCTACCAAGACTTACCTTGTCATTCCCAACCTCTATACCATAATTTTTATCCTCAACAAACCAAGATCCTCAATATGCTTTTAATGATCAATACCCTCAATGTTCACAAGACTACAATCCACCTCAACATCTTTTCCCACCACAAGATTACTCTCCAAATCCATACCCTTCACCCATTCATTACACACCATACCCCCAAGACACTCAACCCCCATATGATCATCACACCCACTCACCAAGTGTTGGAAGGTATGAATTAGATGAGGAGACCTTAGCATTGGCTAGGCGTTGGGGAGTCACTATTGTACCCGATGGTGACATTGAGGATGAGGGCTATCCCATGAGACCGAGTGAAGAAGAGTATGCCAATAATCAATGGGAACCTCAAGAGCTACTATATCAAGAACCTCAACAAGAATGCCAACCATTTGATCAAGATCCCGAGATGAAGTTGATGATGGCCAACATGCTTATGCAATTGAATGAGAAACAAGTTCAACTAGACAACATGATGGCTCAAATACAAGGTTTGACAACTCAAGAACCCGTTCAAGAATTGTCTTCCAATGTAGATGTTCTACAAGAGTTGCTCTTGCCAAATGAAGGTCATGTGGTTGAAGAAAATAAAAAGCGAGGTGAGGACATTGATGGTGAAGATGAAGATGATGAGGTATATGACCAATGCATTGAGATGGAGACACCAAGTTGGGGAGAAAATGGAGAGTTGCAAGGGAATGGTGGTAAGGAGGAAGTTGAAAATGGGGGCAATGAATAACTCCAAAATCCCCCGGTAGAAGAGGAGATTGTGATTGATAGAATACATGAAGTGATTGAGGAAACTCCTTCAATTGATGAAAACTCCTTCTTCGGTGAGAATTTTTCAAGAGTTTGGGAACCGGGAGGTGTCAATGTTCTTGAGAGTTTTGGCCCACATTGGCCAATATTTGAATCAAAGGATTGCAACTTCTTATTGGTGCATGAGAAAGACCCAAGAATCTCCTTACTTGCCAATGAAAAGGAAAGTCAAGAAGAGAAAAGAAGTGGAGACCAAGGAAATGATCAAGCTCATGGATACTATCTAGATCCAAAGTTTAGAAAGAAATCATTGGTTGACTTATGGATTAAAAATGGGTTTGAGGAAAGAGTAAGATTGAATTTTGAGTTCAAGAAACATCAATGCTTAAGTTTTGAAGTGGTGATGTTGAGCTTAAGGGAACATATTGGTGGCCACCACTTGAAGTGCTATTTGGAAGAAAAAGGTTGAAGAAAATGTAGAAGAAAAAGAGGTGAAAATTGAAGAAGATAGCATATTCTTGGAAGTGGATCATTGCAATTTCTTTGAGGAGAATATGCTACTTTTGAGCTTAAAGGAGTTCCTTAATGCCCGACATTTAATGACATTTATTGAAGAGAAAGTGGATGGAGAAAAGGAACTCATCTTCATCCGTTCATCCATGGATAGTTCCTTGAGAGGTTGAGTCGAGCTAGCGACGTTAAACTTAGCGCTTCATGGGAGGCACCCCATGTTATCTTTAATTTTATTGCACTTTAATTTCTTCTTTATTTTTCTTTACACTTTTATTTTTGATATATCTTGCTTTCACTTGTGCTTTCATGTCTATATGCTCTTGACTCTATGAATGACACCAAGGAGTATGCTCAATTCCAAGAAGGCTTCATGATGATTCTTTGACACAAGAAGATTCATTAGGGGAGTCTCATCTACCTTCTCTACTTTCTTTAATTGTGTATAGTGCCTTACTTGGTGTAGATAGTAGAGATTGTGCTCCTTGTGCTTATTGTGCTATCCTTCCCCCCTTGTTCTTTGTTGTCTTTCACATCGAGGACGATGTATCCTTTAAGTGTGGGGGAGGGGATAATTTGGGTGTTTTCTATAAAAAAAATTGATTTAAAAAAAAAAACTTTGCTTGGATGACTCATTGTGCATAATATTGAATAAATTGTCTTTCCTTGCTTGAAGTAGTGATTACTCCCTCTTTGTTGGTTGGTGGTTTGTTTTGGTGGAACTTGTTGCAATTCAACTTGTGATTAATGAGCCAAGGGGTAATACATGGTTGATCTATTCTCTTGCCAATAACCTTGTTAACCACTTAATAATTGAATCAATTCTTGATCTTGTGTGTTATGCATTGCTAGTGATGGCTTATGTGAGATTCCGGTCATGGTTGTTTTGCTAGAACTTGCCTCATTACTCTTCAAGTGAAGTCTAAGATTTGCATGTTTAGAAATGATTTAGGCCATTTTTGTTTAGCCCGAGCCTTTCGAGCCTAACCTTTACAGATGTGTTTACCTCTAGTTGTCCCCGTTGAGCCTTTTGTGTTTGTTTAATAAGTGCTAAGCACTTGTCCCTTCTTTGTGTTTGTTTTTCCTTGTGTTAACCCTCATCTTTTAACCTTCAACCCTTAGCCAAAAATATTTCCTTCACCCTTGAGAGAATAGAGCATTTATTCTTTGTCTTTGAAGAGATCTTTATTGGAGCTTGTTTTGTTAGCAATCCTCTTGATAATTTTTGTCTAAGTGTGGGGGGTCTTGATTCATTGAATAAGTTTGTTGGTTGATTTGAAAAAAAAAATGAAAAAATGATGTTGAGAAAATTGAGAAAAAAAAGTGTTGAAAAAGTGATGAAAGGAGAAAAATAAAAAGAAAATGAAGAAGAATAAAAGTTTGAAGCATGATTCTAGTTTGTGTTGAAAGTTGTACTCAACCCCCACCTCTTTAGAGTGTTGCTTTGTGTCAATTGTAAATTTCTCCTTTGTCCATAAATGTCATATCTCTTCTAGCCCCAATTGTGAATAAATGTGAAGTTCTCTCCTTTTGTTTATTTTCCTTGCCCCTTTTTTGTTAACCTTTCACCCTTAGCCCCATTACAAGCCAAATAAAAGTCCTACTTGATCTTAGCATGCAATCTTGGAGTTGAACTAGTAGGAGTATGAAGGGCAAGCCTATGGAATCTCATTCAAAGCCAAGTTTTGCATAATCTCAACTTAGCATTTGTGCACACTTGATCCTCACGTACTTTAATGGTTTTGGTGCTTGGTTATTGGCTTGAGAATGGAACTTGTGTGCCAAGCTAAGGTGATTCTTGAAACAAGTTGTGTTGTAACAAGTTGAATTGTGGTTTGATTGGTTGTGCAAATTGGGAATATGATCAATTTCATTGCTAGGATGATGATTTATTTCTTGTCTTTGCTTGAGGACAAACAAATGTTTAAGTGTGGGGGAGTTGATAAGTGCTTATTTGTCTATATTTTCCTCCCTTTCACTAAGTCATTTTGCTTATAGGTCATTCTAAATTTCATGAGATTATGATTAAATTGTGTTATTTTGCTAGGAGTTTTGTTTGGAAACAAAGATGAGTATTTTCAGGCATTTTGGTGGACATTGGAGTCAAATGGAGCATTTTGGATGCATTAGGAGTCCATGGGAGCCAATGAGAAGTTAAGAGGATGGACAAAATACTTCCAAGGGAGCCTAAGAGTGGTGTATTCAATGGTCTTAGTCATTTGGGCAAATCAAAACAAAAGAGGAGCAAAAGATCAAGACATTGTAATTTTCGCTCATTTCGGACACTGTTTGGTTTTTTTACCATATCTCGGCCTAGATATGTCCAAATGGAGTGATTATTGCACCATTGGAAAGAAAACTTAAAGGGATACAACTTTGTTGAATACCATAAGTACCAATAAAATGGTTTTAGATGAGAAAAATAGCCTAGAAGTTAAGACAAGTGCACAGAATTCTGTTTTCAGCAGCCTCGTACGCCCGTACGCATGCCAGTACGCATCTCTTCTCCCTGATCCAGTTTTCACTGGAAATGCACCAAAAATCGTACCCCCTAGCGTACGCCCATCCCTGAGGGCGTCCCACTATGCTCTGTCCACTATATAGGCGCGATTTTAGTCATTTCTACTTGGTTTTGACTCTTGTTAGAACCCTAGACACTCTCATTTACTTCCCTTCATATTTTTAGGTTAGATTAGGCTTAGATTTATGTTTCTTAACACTTTTGAAGCTTGTAATCTTGGATTTGAAGCTTGGATTCCAACATTTCAAGATTCCACCATCCATTTTCAATAGAGAAGCTTTCTTCCTTTTATCTCTTTCTTTTGCTAGATTTATGTTTAATGCTTGTGTTTTTGTGTTCTTTATGCTATTTAATCATGAGTAGTTAGTTTATGAACTTGAGTTAGGGTTGTATTATCTATCTTGATGCTTGATTTGTGATTATTGCAAAAAAGGGGAAGAACTCTAACCTAGGGTTCATGTGTTTGTGAAGGTTTTGTATTGATATCTTGTTAATGTTTGATGTAAACATTCATTAGCTTGTTTTTGGAGGATTCCTTGCCTCAACGAGAGTTGAGTGATGAATCCAAGCCACCCCTTGCATAGACCCGATTTCTTCCTACGAAAATAGGGGAAATTGGGGGGCTTTAGATGCTTTGTGTGCTTGATGGACTTGGAATTGATTCACCACGAAAGTAGGGAAATTCCTTGTTCTAATCCTTGTTTATTAATCACGAGAATGGTTCGTAGACTAGGATACCTACGTGCATTTCCCACTTGACTCTTTGTTATTTGTTCTCCCTAATCCATAGGTTGTTGAAGCATCTAGATGATAATGCTCCCTAGCTTGAGTCCTATTTCTTTGTTCCGTGTTTATATCTTGTTAATATGTGTTTGTATTACTTTGTTTAGTTACCGTAGTCTCAACCTTGTTATGGTTTGCTTAGCTTCTTGTCGGTTTTTTTATGCTAGTGCCTAGTTTATTGTGATTGCATATTGCGTGCCATAACCCCCAATCCCTGAGGACGACATTACACACCCGTACACTCACCATCACTCATTTTTGCTACAATCATGTGCCAAGCCAGTCAAGAGCAAAATCTTCTTCGTCAAAAGTTTCAAGGAATGTTTGCAGAGGTGAAGTTCGCCATTTTTGCCACTACATGACTTTCTTGAAGTCAGTTTCAATTGAGAGTTGAAGCAGTTGGTCTCTTGATGGAGGAGGGTCTTGAGCAGCTTCTGTCACAGGTACAATTGCTCGTCTCTTCGTATAAGGCAGGCTGTGGAATAGCTTCAGGTCCAGGTATTGCTTCTTTTGGATTGGTTTCAGGTTGTGGAATCACTTCTCTCGTCTCGGCTGGCTGACCGGGTTCTTGTGGGAGACTTAAGTGATTTGAAGATTGTGGCACACTTTCGTCCTCGTCTACCATAGCAGGTTCTTGTGTCAGAATAAGAGCTATCTACTCTGCACGGGTAGGTTCTTGTGGGAGGGAAGTTTCGGCAACAGGTGTTGATAGAACAACTTGATCATTGACCACTTCTCTCGTCTCTTCTGGCAAGCCAGGTTCTTGTGGGAGACTTAAGTGGTCAGTGGGAACTGGAGGTTCACGAGCATCCTTTTCCACCTCAGCAGGTTCTTGTGTCAAACTCGTGTTGAGTTGCTCTGCCGAGATGGGTTCTTGTGGTAAGGGAATCTGCCTCAAGCTCTCTGCACTTTCAGATCTCGTCTGTCGCTTCTTCGAGGTTTTTCGAGATGGATCTTGTTTCTTTTCTTCCCCCTGAGAAGATGCAGACTTCTTTTTCAACTTTTCTCTCAAGCTGGACGTAGGAGGATGACCTTTCGATGCTTGTACAGGGCTGGATAGAGCGACATCTTCTCCTTCGGAAGAATCATCAATAACAATAGGTTTCTGTTGACGAAATTTGGGGTGTCTTTTGAAGATTTTCTTTCTTGGTATCAGCTGGAGGTTCTGGTTTTGTGGTCTCGGGAATTGGCAGAGCGTCAGATGGAACTTTCGTTGACTGTGCGAGGGAGACTTTATCTTTCTTCGGTTTCTTGGCCTTGGGCAGATCATCATCAGCTTCTTTGGCTCTTTTGGACTTACGTTCCTTTTTCACCGATTCCAACAGTAATCCTAGTTCCAGTGCTTTCTGCTTGTCATATCCAGACGGTTTGGATTTCATGTGACATACCTTTCGTCCAGGGGAGACTCCAGCGCGTAGGGGAACTTTCTTAGTGGCGAGAAGATGGCTTACCAGAAAGCCATAGCCAATTTTCTTTGTAATGTCTCCTGGTGATGATCGACCATAGATGATGACGTGGCGAAGTTGATTAAAGACAACTTTCAACCAGTCCACTTTGTATTCCCCAAGAAAGGCGGTGTAGCATTTTCAACTTGTCCTTGGTTACATCGTCTGTCCCCGAAGTCTTGTGTTCTACGATTTTGTTGAATATGTCAACAGTGAATTCGTAGTCTAAGCGAAACCATTTCTTCTTTAAGGGCCAGGTGATCTTGGTTGGTCCTTGTTTATTTTTGATCTTCTCATAAAATGCATTCTGTTCGTAGTAATAACCAGAGAAGTCAGAATGGTATGTCTCATCACGGTCCAGGAAGTTAAAAGACTTCCTCGCGTCTTCAACGGTTAGTGTTATGGCGGTGCGATTGACTTCCGATGAGATTTCAGAACCATCGGCGGATACTCTATCGTTCAAGTAGAACTGAGCGACGTCCACCGGAAACCAGTACGTATATAGGTGGGTTACAAAGTTGTACAACCCACTCTCTTTCAAGAGATGAATGACGTTCTCTCCAAATGATCTGTCAAGGACATACTCAAGAAAACCATGAGCATCCCACATACACCCGCCTATGATGAATGGAACCCTTGACTCAATAAAGTTGATGTCGGAGTTGGAAAGCTGGGTATCACCATTGTTGTCGGCGTTTCCTGTTCAACATCCGATACTGAAGCTTTGGATTTCTTTGCCATGGTGTAAGATATGGAGGTATGTGTTTTCTAGGTTTGGGAGGGAGAGTGGATGATCACGGAGAGGATTGTAGACTTAGAGTATTGGAGAATTTTCGTAAAGGTTTGGAAAAGTGATAGGGAGATGATGGTTTAGGTTATCAAGGGGAGGATTTTTCAATGGGTTTTCGCATGGGCCAAGATATTTACCCAGGTAACCCGGCCTGTATTTGAATTTGAATGAGAGTGACTCTTCTCATTCTACCAATAAGGTATTCTGATATGGTAAGTGATTCTGATAAGGCCAGTATCAGATCAATTTTGATCATTCCCAATTAAATATGAGAGAGAAAAGCACTTGAGTGCAAAACACCCGCATTAAATGCCTGTCGCATCGACTGACAGAAGGGCATGGGGTAGTGGGCCGAGTTTTGTCGCCACACGATCACTTCGATCAACTCCATCGAATGGTTAGGGTATAACCTCTCATTTCCAAGTAACCGTCAGTGCATTTATCGTCTAAGAGACATGTGATTTGTCACGAGAGTCAAATAAAGATTTTCATGATGTGACCAACTGTAGAAAGTCTCGGTTAAGACAGTTTCGTGACCACGATTCATTTGTAGAGAGAGAGCACACGAAACATAGGGATGAATTATTACACAGACGAACATAGACATAGTTACAATCATCTCTCGTCCTACATCATTACATAGAACAATGTGACGCTTAAGTCCTTCTCACTTTCTTTTTGAGCGGATCTTCCTCAGTTTCATGGGTCTCCTCTTCACAGAAATTCTTCCACATGATGTAAGATGGATCTTCCTTAAAAGCATCCATCGTAAGATTGGATGGACCAAGTGGAGGACGAACATTCTGCAGAATAGTCAAGTGAAGCTTTTTGGCAGTCGATCCATGAGAGCTTTCTCCATGCTCAGTAGATAGGCTAAGAGATTTGAACATATCTTGAACTTCTTTCAGGTCTTTCTTCGGCAAGGATACAGAGGAGGAGATCTTTTTCTTTCCCTTATCCATTGTCAAGAAATGGAATGGTCATTCTATTGCAAGATGTGTCTATTTATAGGCAAGAATGGCCGTTCATACCGAGGTCTGACACATATCCCATGTGTGAAAGACTAGACACACAAAGATATAGAGTTCCAATGTTTCGGAAGAAGATTACTGACGAAATGAGATAGATGTGACATAGCATGCTCAAAAGATAAAGTAAATCAAATAAAGATTTACTTCTCTCGTTTTGTCATTTCGCTTGGCACCATTTTGAGTTAGATAAAAGACGAAACAAGTAAAGTTTCGGCAAGATGCAATGAGAGGATATTTATTGATGATGATTAGAGAGAAACATCATATGAGAGTACATTGAAAAACATTAAACGAAAGAAAGTTATTTCTTTGCTTTTCCCTTCACGTCCTTGCCCTCCACAGTTCTCATTGACATCATTTTGCCTAACTCCTTGCGAAACCATTTCGCGGTCTTGACTGTCTTGGACCCATCGGTTTCGTGTGTTTGACTAACTTAACACGAATTACATAGTAAATTATGGTACCTTTCGTCTAAGACGAAGGTAGCTAAATAAATGATAAGAATTTAGGGGTCTACTTCTAAGTTACATTGGTATCATCAAAATCCTAATACATATGTTCCTAACACTACAACATATCTTCAAATTGCTACTTCAACATGCACATGAGAGCAAATGAAGTAATTTTGGTTTACCATGTG